GCCCTGGCACAGGCTGGGCCTCTCAACAAGCAAACCAGAAAGCCACCTGCCCGCCTCTGCCTGTCTCCCAGCTGCCTCCCTACTTGTGATCTCTACAGCCCAGCATGAGAAAGGCTGAAAGGCCTTCACTCCAGGGGTTGACTTGGCTGGATAAAGAGATACTCAGAGCTGGCAGAGCAGCATTTCCGGCACATCTGAGAGGCACTCCTGATAAAGCTGGCTTCTGAGTTGGTGGACTGAGATTAGATCCACCCACGGCAGCTGGATAGGCGCTACCCAATTAGCTGAGGGCTGGGACAGAGCCAGAAGGCAGGGAGAAGGGAATCTGGGCTGCTCCCCCACCTGGGGTGCAGACACCGCCTTCTCTGGCCACTGGATGTCACTGGAGTTCCGAAGTTTTCCGACTTCGAGACTCACACCAGGGCCCCCCTGCCCCGGGTTCTGGCCTTCTACCTCCAGCTGAGAGCACCCCACCAGCTCCCCTGATCCTGAGGGCTCCAGCCTTGACTGAGCAGCGCTACCAACTTCCCGGGTTCTCCAGCTTGCAGACAGGGTGTCGGGGGACTTCCCAGCCTCTAGCTCCCCAGAAAATCCCTTCTCTTTTCTTCTAAGTTCCTGGTCGTCTACCTGTGCCCCAGTGCAGTGTCCCTGCACAGCCAAGCACACCACCCCTCCAGCCACCCGAAGTCCAGGTGCCCCTCAACTGCGTGCCTCTCCCCACAGTTCCCTCTCCAGAAAACGTGCCAAGAGATCCCCTCATCCTCAGCCGTTTCTGCACAGCGAGGCCCCAGTCCTAGGAAGTGGCCCCCACTCCCTTTACCCCAGCAAGGTGCCCTCAACATTTCTCAGCACACCCCATCCCACCCCTCCCAGCACCTAACAGGATAATCAACACATCCCATCAGCCTGAATCATCCTGCTTTACTAGTTACCACTAGTGCCAATAAATGCGACAATGTACCCTTTTACCGGAATGCTTTAAACTACACGGCCCGCCCGTGAGTGCATGCCAACGCCAAGGGGATATGTCCAGGAGTCACAGCAAAGAAGCACTTACTACACACCCACACACGCATGCACATATCTCTAGGTAACAGCTCAGGCTGTAAGATGGCACTACGGACAGTCCCTTCAGAGGTGTGATGACCTCACCAACGTGGCCATGTGGCCACAGCAGCCCAGATTTATTCATCAGGCAGGCAGGAGCACAGGGTTAAAGTGGGAAGTTCTGACAGAGCACCAAACAGAGAAAGCCCTCCTGCCCCAGAAAGCGCCCAGGTGCCAAGAGCATCTGAGAGAACTCCAGGGGCTCACAGAGGGCTTCCTGTCTGGCACCTGGAGCGTGGGCCACTGGTACACGAAGCTCAGATCTGGCAGTCAGGACGAGATGCTGGGAAACTGGTAGTGCAGGTTAAGGGGGTGTCCACATGTGGAAACCAGGAGCCTCACAGAGCCAGGGTCAGACTCAGCCACGGGTAGTTGGGGAATAACATACGGCAGACAGATACAGACCCGAGAGCTGCCAGTACTCTACCCAACTTCAAAGAAAGAAAGGAGAAATCTGGGTACCATAGGAGGGGAGGAAACCATGAGCAAAAGTTTTGCTGAGAAAACAGTATCCAAGAACAGATGGGAGGCAGGCATGGTGCATATGCCTGTAACCCCAGCACTCCGGGAGGCTGAGGCAGGAGAATGGCAAGTTTGAACCCAGCCGAGGCAACTTCACAACGTAATGAAATCCTGTCTCAAAATTTTAAAAAGGGGCTTTGAACATAGCTTGGTGCAATCCACAGTACCGCAAAAAATTAAAAAATAATAGATGCAATTTCAAAAGACATTCAAATCTGGACATTCCAGCACAACTGTCTGTTTTTAACTCCTGAGCTGGAGTGGAGACTGACCGAATTGGTGCTGCTTCGCCCGCTAGCTTGCATTTCCTTCCTAGCTTTTCCCTCCACACCAGCGGCCCGAGTTCCCCCCAACCCCAAGAAAAGTCTAGGGAGCTCCAGGGTTACTCTGCTCGCTAGCTTGCTCACTCGCTCACGTTCCTCCCCACCCTCTGCACCCACCCAGGGCGACAGGGTCAACCCTTCTGCGCCTCCTTACCGCCAGCACCATCACCCATCCCCGCGGTCACACAGGAACCCAGAATTACCGCTACAGGGCTTCCCCTTCCCTCCCTGCCCTGCTGACCCACAAACGGAGACAAGCCGTGGAGCCAGTCCTTCAAATCTAGCCTCTCTGCCCCGACCCCAGGCAGAGCCTTTCCTCTACTCTGCTCCTCATCGCCTCCCACGTGAACCCCTGCAACAGCCCTCGCCGCACCTGCTGCCAACCTGACAGCGTGGCTGCACCGACATCGCAGATTTACCTTCCTGAAATGAATGCTCTGATCGGGTTTGTCTGGTTAAGAGCTTTCTGGATTCCCGTTGTTTAGCAGACAAAACCCAAACTCCATGGCCTAGCCGCCTTCTCAGTACCAGCCCTCAGGCCTCCTCCCCACAGGGCTCTCTTGCTCCCTCACAGCCCACCCCCAGCTGCCACCAAGCCCACCCCTGGTCCACCTGTTCTGCCCAGCTCGCTCCCAGCCCTCCTTCAATTCAAGACTGACGCGATCTTCCTTAAACTCTGTGCTGGCCCTGCACTAGCCATGGCGGCCATCCCTCTTCACACCTGCAGTGCCGCCTCCTTTACTGAAAGCTCACAGTCCCCTTTGGGCCATAAGTCACGTGGCCCTCCTACAGGAAGTGCACCATGCCCCAGATGGAACTCATTATTTATGCAACTGTCTTTTGCTAAACTGTATGTTCAATGGCAGTAACTATCTCATTACTGTTACTGTTATAGGCAGTGGCACAGCCCGCAGTCCGAGCTAGTCCAGACAATGAGGCCAGAGGGTCACTGATGTCCATGGTTCAAGACCAGCCTAGGGAACATGGCAAGGCCCCTTCTCAAAAAAAGCAGGCCATGATAGCATCTATCACATAAGCACTTCTTTTCTTACTCAATGAAAAAAAGCTGAGAAACACTTTCTTCATTGCCTCTCCCCTAAGGAGTCTTAGATTTTTACTCCTAAGTGTACCTCCCCCTGAAATTTTAATCCTACAGATACAGACATACATGCATATATATGCATGTATTTTACACATATAACAAGTATAGCTTACTTTTCTAATTCAATAATAGGTTCAGAACTACGGGATATAAAGCATAAAAGTTAAATTCAAGATATTAAATCTATTAACATTTAACCTGTAACTGTATTTACTAACTTTGAATTTAAAATGTTAATACACCAAATATATGTAAAATTACTGATTTGTATAACTATAATAGCAACACAAACAAAATTTTCAAAATAGTTAAAACTTATTTCCCCAGCAAAAAGAAAAGTTTTAAAAATTATTTATCTGAGTTATTTTTAGAGGCCAAGAACAGTGCTCGTCTACTTTAAGTGAGGTCCTTGGACTGATCCCCAGGATCGCAAAAAAAAAAACAAAAATTGCAGTGAAGTTAACTTTTGTTTCATGTGAGAAAATAATTTTTAGTTCAGCTACACGGTATTCATTCAGTACTGTCAATATTACCTCTGTTCAGCACTTGACATAATTGTTGTGGAGTGCTAAAAACAAAAATGTTGACTATTTTAAAAAAACAGTAAAATATACACAATTTTTCATTCAATCCTCTCAAGTCACACGTAGAGCAGCGCTGAGGGCCGTCCGTGGCCGCTCGCGAGAACGCTGGCACACAGACTGAGACACAACTCTAAGGTCAAGAAAGACAAGAACACCTTCCGATCCTGGCCACGCAGAGCTTATCAGACTTCCTGCACACATTCTGTCCATGCTCCAGGAACTCTAGCCATCCATCCCCTGAGCTATTTTCACATGTCATACCTCCCTACCCAGACTACAAAACCTAGAGTCCACACTCTAATCTTTCTGAAGCACCTAACACGCCCGAGCACAGCACAAATGCCCCTCTAATGCTTGCACGACTTGCTACTCCATGAACGGACGCACATACGAAGTGCTGCCTGGACTTTGCTCATCTCCTAAGACTGGCGCAGCACCTAACACATAACGGGCTGAGGGTTGGTGAATATGGCAAAAACCAAGGCGTTGTCCAGCAACATCTCTTCTGCGGTTTTCCATTCATTCAACAAAGATGATGAAGATCAGGCCATCTGCTGCTCTGACCCTGACTACCACTCACCACCAAATACATCTCAAAGCTCAGTCCCTTCTGCACACAAGAGCTCTGCCAGTGCACCCACACCCCTCAGTATGGCACAAAGTCCCACTTTATTCCTATCCTACCAGTATGAGTAACAGCATCTCAGTAGTGCCCTAGTCCCGCCCCAGGCATAAAAAAACTTCAACAAGCAGAACTTGGATTTAGAAATTTCACACCACATTTACAAATGACTCTGTCTGGATTATAAATACTAATTTAATCACACGTGATTAAGTGGGTACATATAAGGAAGAGGGGAGAGAAGCCTAGAACACGAGATTGCTCTCATGTTGTACAGAGCCTTGCATGCCAGGAGCACAGATCTTTTAAAACGATACATCGGGTGCCTTGCAAGTGCAAGGACTTGAGTTGAATCTCCAGTACAAACAAACAAACAAACTAAAAAACACTACACAAAAGGGAGCCATAAAACTTTGAGGAAGGAAGTGAATGTACAAGCAATGGGAAAGGGTGATTACCTTGATTACAGGGAAGAACGGAAGAAAGGCAGCTGGCCCCAGGTCACACCAAAGAGAACCTACAGCTATGAATAAAATTGTCACTGAAGAAAAGACCAACAATACGCTATTTCATGTTTGCCTGCACGTGCAGTTTAAAAGTTTCAGCAACAGATACATGTGAACAAGCTCTAGTGCGCTGGTCTGTGCTTGGAGTTCTTACTGCAAGAGAGCTGTAATCCAGGGTTTTGTTTTTATTTTAAGGCCCGCATTTAAAGCATAATTAATGCTTGTTATCAGCAGCTTCCTGGCACGAAACAGACGGACCGGAATCCTAACCCGCCTCCTCCACATCCTTCGCTGTTGCATCACTTGAAACCCAAGGCTTCTGCCACAGCGACTGAATCCCGGTCAGGTGAGACGGCAGAGTGGCGGCCGCGGCTGTGACAGCGGCTCAGGTCGTGCGCGCTTCGAGGGCCAGAGCGGCTCACCGGGTGCCTG